CCTTAGTTACACAGTAATATCCACTAGTAGTGACAATTTTGTGAAATTTTCCCAATCCTTTTCTTTTTAATTTCTTCTTGCCCTAGAATCTCCAGTCTAATGTTGAATAGATGTGCTGATAGCAGTCATCTTTATTTCAAAGGGGAAGCTTTCAGTGTTTCCCCATTAATTATACTTAACTCTAAAGTTTTTTGTAGTTTAATTTTAATAGATTCAAATGCTCTATCAATGTTTATAAAGAGAGATTGGAGATTTTTTTCATATCGAATGTGAGCCTCATACAAATTAGTTGGAGAGTATGTATATCTTTTTGATCTGTTCTCTAGAAAATTTGTAAGATTGGAATTATTTCTTATTTGAATGGTATAATTCATCAGTGAAGCCATCTGAGCCTAGAATTTTCCTTGTGGGAAGATTTTTGATTGATGTTTTTGGATGGTATTGGGACCATTCTGATTTTATTTTATTTTCTTGAGGTCGTCTTGCCCTGCTTCCCCCCATAAGAGTTGTAGTTTTTCTAGGAATTTTACATTTTATCTAAATTTTCAAGTTTGTTGGCATAAAGTTCTTCATAGTACAGCTGACCCTTGAATAGCAGAGGTTTTTTGTTTGTTTTAAATTTATTTATTTTGAGAGAGAGAGCATGTATGTGCAGGAAGGGCAGAGGGAGATGGAGAGAGAATCCCAAGCAGACTCTGACTGCTGTCAGCACAGAGCCTGATGTGTGGCTTGAACCCACAAACCTGTGAGATTATAACCTGAGCTGAAATCAAGATTTGGACGCGTAACCTAGTGAGCCACCCAGGTGCCTCTGTTTGTTTTTAAAGTTTATTTTTCTTTTTCTTTAGTACTTTCTGTACCCAGCATGGGGCTTGAACTCACAACCCTAAGATCAAGAGCCATCTGCTCTTCTGACTGAGCCGGCCAGGCACCCCAAGTGGGCATTTTTTTTTTTTTTTTTAAGTAGGCTGCATGACGAGTGTGGAGCTTGAACTCATGACCCTGAGATTAAGAGTCACATGCTGTATTGACCGAGCCAACCAGGTACCCTAAATGGTACAGGTTCGAGCTGCTTCAGTATATGTGGATTTTTTTTACAGTACAGCCCTATAAATGTATTTTTCCTTCCTTATTTTATCAACATTTTTTTCTAGGTGACTATATTGTAATAATACAGTATAGTAATGCATATGACCTACAAAATATGTGCTAATCAATTGTGTTATTGGTCAGCAGTAGGCTATTAGCAGTTAAGTGTTTGAACATTTTATATTTATAAATTGATCATTGTTACTTTTGTTTGTGCTTTTTGCCTTAAAGATTATTTTGTTTAATATTTTTAAAACTTACAAGCTTTCTTTTTTTTTTTTAATTTTTTTTTTTTTAACGTTTATTTAT